CTGCTTTCTACTTTATGGATTATAACATAGATTGCTTAATACTGACTTAAAAGTGTGGAATTCAGTGATTTTAGATCAGGAAGTTGACAAGCAATTAGATCAGTCCCATTTCAGAACAATTTATTTTGCTCTAAAACAACCATTAGCATTCACTTCTTGTTTCCATCCCAGGCCCTGGACAACCAACAATCTATTTTCTATATGTACATTTGCCAATTATGAACATTTTATTTAAGAAGATTCATACAGTAAGTGTCTTTTATGACATAATTCTTTCAGTTATGCTTTATTTTGGACATTGATCCATGTATGAGAATGTGTGAGAGTTCTTCATTTTTCTTTACTATGTAGTATTCCATTGCATGGATATGCATCATGCTTAAATAAATTTATTTATTTATTTATACAAAAACTGGGATACAGGTCAGACTCAAGGGCAGGTAAGAGGATTCACCAGAGACAGAGAGGGGAACAGAAAAGGCAGACTGAGGAAATGCACTGCTGAGGGGAGCAGTGGGCGTGACAGGAGAGTTCTGCTGCACCATGTGGGACCATCTCCTGCTGGCCAGGATCAAACCAGTGCTACAGAGGCTGCAGGCAGATTCACAGCGCAGCGCTCAACTGCCTGTGCCACCAGGGGAGGCCCCCCATGCTTGTCCTTTACTGACTGATAGGTATTTGAGTGTTTCCACATTTATGGAATGCTGCTATGAACAATCACATACAAATCATTATGTGGACCTACATCTTTTTTCTCTTGGGCGGATACTTTTGAATCTCAAGGACACTTTGCATGGTCTCTTTTCTGTGTAATATCTTGTATCCCATTTTAGTGTGATTATTTTGGAGTTTGTCTTTATCTATGCAAATCTTTAAGTATAGGTTTGCACAGGTCCTGTTCTCATCATTTTATTTTAAATGATGTGTTCTTCATTAAGTTTATACATTTACAAAGTATTGTAATGTATAATTGAGTGATTTAAGTATTTTCATCATGAAACTCCCATTCGTATGTTGCCCATTTAATCCATTTTTTTGGGATACTTGTCAGATATTAAATAAATCATGACATTTGGGTGATAGAATATTGATTTTGTGTTTTATAAAGACTTCCTGAAATCATGATTTAAAAAGCACTGTCATCTTTAGATTGTAAATATTCAAATCAGATCTACAAAGAAATGTTTAAAATAGTTTCTTCAGGACTTATTTATAAACATTGAACAGATAAAAGTCTTGCAAAATTTATTAAGATCATCTTTTTATCTTTTGTGACTTTCTATAAGGTCGTTAATATCTTATTTTACATCATTTGTAAAATGTATTCCTTGAAATATTACCTTTATATTTTCATGCCAAAGTAATGAATGTGAAAGGAACTTGAAGGCATTAAAGTAAATGAGGTCAAACAGATAAAGATAATAAACATTGTTTAATATTATTTAAAAATAACTGAATTAAATATATATGCACACATTTATGCACATACACTTCCAAATCTTTAACATTTGCTATATCCTTATTTCATTTCACACTGAAATTCTCCGAAGCAAAAAGAATTAAGAAACATCTAATTAGACCATCTCATGGGTGGTAAATGAAGAATTATATCTTTAAATTGCCATCTTTTATTTGTTATTATTTTTTCTTATTTTAATAATTCAAAAAAACAACTTGTGCCTAAAACAACTTTTGAAAGTGGCAACAGTTTTAAACTCTTGTGTTTATTCCGGCATTTTTTTTTTTTATATAAAGGGAAAAAGTTATATTTAATGGCAATTGTGTGCAAATTTGGTGGTGGTATAGTTGGCAGAAACATACATGATATAAAAATAGAGCGTACCTGGTTGGGGCATTAGAAAAGTTGTAATTTCATCTTTTGGTTCCCACTTGCAATTTATGACTGCAACAATTTCAATGGAAATCTCAGCTTGAGGCCTGCGTGGTGCACTTTATTCTCTATTCTTAAAATTTGAGCTTGGAAGAGAGAGCTAAATTCATGGCAAAGAACCCACAATTGTTAGATTGATGCTGGGGAATAAAATATCTAGGTAGACAATTTAATAAAAGAACCCAATACGATTCCTCCAATGTTCCCTCTTTTTTTTTTCAGCTCCTTAGTTCATATGTTTGCCTCTCTCAAGTTGTGAGTTAGAGAGCGCATTTTGAATTTCAGACATTGTGTATTATATTAGAGAGGAAGCTACTTTGTATACTTGTGGTTTGTTTGTTTGTTTTTTTTGAAATCCTGAAATAAATATTCTAAAACTGGAATTGATTTTATACCTTCCTGTATAATATCTTTATGAGTAAATTTTTTTTAAGATTTATTTACTTATGCAGACAAGAACTGAGTGTAGGCCAGAGGAGAGGAGGGGTGAGAGGATCCATCAAAGACAGAGTGGGGAGTAGAACAGGCAGATCTACTGAAATACACTGTTGAGGGGAGCAGTGGGTGAGTCAGGAGAGGTCTGCTAGAATGGAACTCCACTGCGATGGCTGCTGATAGATTCATAGTGCTGAGACTTAAACCCTTGCACTCAGGGAGGCCCTTATGAGTAAAATTTGAGGAAAAGTTACTCATTAGAAAGAAAGGAGCAGGACCTTCCCTGATGGTGCAGGTGGTTGAGTGCAGCGCTGAGAAGCTGTCCGC